TTCACTTCTTGCCAATCAGGCGACATTCAGGCTCATTCGGGGTCATTCGGGCTCATTCTTGACTTTTAGTTGCACATCTTTGCCAATTGAAGTGAATTCTCCTGTTTCAAGCAACAAACTGAGCAAACATTATGAAACTGCATCAATTGAAATGTTGACTGCGAATGCATTCGGAATTTCCAAAAGGCCAATGTCAAAAGCTAATGAAAATAGAGAACTCTACGGACTCTTTTGTTTGTCTGACACACCTGAGTGGACGTTGGATGTTGCATGTTGTACGTTGTACGTTGTACGTTATACGCTGTGCTTTGTAGCATTTATCAAGTTCTTGTAAACAAGTCCTTGCCAACTGCATTAAGTGGCCGGCCGGCACGGCCTTCAAGGATGCACGCTGGAGCACTGTCTGAGGCGCACTTGTGCAGAGCTTGGAGCACACACTCAAGCTGCGACATGTGGGCCCATTGGCAATTGTACAAGCATACAATCATACGAGCTTACTGTTAGTTATGTTAAAGCCCAGCCAACGGCCAACATTAAATCTGGCCATGTAGTGCATTTAGGGCTTGGAGTGCCTGTTGATGGGCGGTGCATACAATATCTATACTTTGGCCTTGAGCCACACGTTAAGTGGACTGCAAAAACACACAAAAAAAAAGAAACTACAACAGCAACAACAACAAAAAGCATTGCATTTAAGACTTGGCAGCTCGTCTGGCCCAGCCACAGCTGCTGTCGCTGATGACTGCAAAAATTTGCCGCACATAAGTGAAAAATGGTAAAAATGAGAAATGAGCGCGAGCATAAATCAATACCAAGTTTATAGACGAGAGGGTTACGACTATAGTACAGTGAAATCGTGGCATTTTACATGCACCCAACCATGGTAGAGGCTTAGCTCGACATAACTCACCTAACACACGCCCACACACACAGATGCACAAAAGTCTTTTCATCACAGACACACACACACACACAGACACAGGCATATCTTCACGCTTTTGCCTTTCCCGGAAGAGTAAATTCAATTTAAAGCGCAAATTTTGTCTTTATAAATCATTTCCACACCTATATTATATTTAGCTCTGTCATAAATGTTTGCAGTTTTGTTTAAGTCTTATTTATCAAGCTGGGACGCGATTGACTCCATAATACTTGTTCGTAGTCTAAAAATAGTTGCAACAGATATTGAGCATCTCACTCTTACGCACCCTTGAGCATGGATGTATTATATATAATAAACATATCTATTTAAGCTTCAGTTATCCTCATGAGCATAAATTAAGTAAGCCTCTGCTCAGATATAAGATTTTGTAATCTACTACTACGATTACTACTACTATTTCAATAACATCGAAACGGATGCACAGACACAGGCGTAACTCAAGCCGATATACTCACTGCTCCTCTTGAGCGAGTATTAAAAAATGACTGGCTAAAAACATTTTCATTCATTTCAATTTAGTGAAACAGCAGCCCGCTGCAGCTGTCAGCCCTTTGAGGTCCTGTCGTTAATCAACGTATTTTTTCAAGCAGAATTTTATAACAATATTGTTAGGTTAAAACGTGGCCAAAAGCTCGTGAATTTTGTCCCCATTTCATATTGTATAAACGTTGTCGACAAAACCTGACAGCTCATCAAATAAATCGCGTAAAACTAATCCACAGACTCAAATGCAAATTGTTGAATATTCAACATTAAGCTAGGTCTTAAATTTATTTCTGCAGTTTTTCATCTTTTTTTTTAACAATTTGGGCATTTTTTTATTTTAATTAATAATTCAGGAATTCCGCATAAAAGGTCACACATATTTTTTGCCGAAACTTTAATTTGATATTGTTTTGCTATTAAATTCAGTTTATGAACGTAATTACCATGGAATGTAGCAAAAACGTTGTGAAAACGCGCACACACGTGCGGTCACACATGCATGCACATACACACACACACACGCATGCGAAATGGCAGCCAAAAAGACATTGAAAATGTTACTTTAAAAAATAACAATAATTGTTGCATGCTTTTAGGCGGGCGTTCAGTAATTTCCGCCGAGTCATTTTATTTAATTTCGTTGCACTTTTTGTTGGCAGAGCACAAGTGGCGCGTAATTGTTAGTGCAGGCACCGCAGCACCGCAGCACCGCCACCACAGCGGTTAGTGGTGTATATCTAACATATTCTTATATAACTAAGTGCTGCGGAAAGACGCGTTTCCTGTTTCTGATTGGTTGAATAATCATGTTCTGGATATGATTCGAGTCGCACTGTGAAAGCAAACCAAACGCATGCTACAATGGCTGAAGGTCGTCAAATAAACGGGCACATTTATCGAATCAAACTAAACAGAAGAAATTACTGAGCAGACGTGCCTCCTGCGTCTTCATCGCCTGCGCTTTTGTGCAAGGCGATTATCTCACAAAAAAGACTTAAAGGGTCATGAGAGCCTGCACAATGGGCCACCGACTTGAATTACCATGGACATTTGAATGGGTCCATTGGGTGGCCGGGCATATCGAAAATCTATTTGCAGGCAAATTCAATGGAATTGCATTTTCTATGTTATACTAACGCTCAATGGACCAACCAGTCCAGCTGGAAGTAAGGGAAACCATTTGTTGTAGTTTGCAATTAACGTAATTGATGAGTATTAACCAATGCAATGGGCTGACACTTGCAAACAATTGCGCATTGTTGCCGAATGACATGCTTAAGAAAGCTATATAAAATAATTTACTTTAGAGCATACTAATTGCATGAGCAGAATTCTAATTAATTAAGTCAATTACATCCAATTGAATTGTGTACCTGATTTTCAGTAAAGCGCAAATCAATTAGAATAAATATTTTGGTTTCTCTAACAATCGCCTTGGCCTTTAAGTTGCTTTTGCATATTTACTTTGCTTGCATCTTTCCATTAAGCATCATGCGCAGCCAACTTTAAGGCGATCAACGATCGAACGTAAATTTCTAGTATTTTACATATTCAAAGTATCGATAACATAAACGATATACGTTTCAAATTTATTGACTAGACTTGCCACAGCGGCATAATTCCCGTTTAATTGGAATATGTAGGAGCTCTTTGCATGACATAACAATAATTAATTGGTCCATTGCTGCGAATGCTGCACAGGCGACGCTTTTCAACTGCGACAAAGAGTCTAGCGCTATTTGAGTTTCGTGCGAAATAAATTCCACTTTGATGGGCCAAACAAAAGCGTGCGAAAATACAAGGAGTGCCTGTGGTAGTGCAGTGGCTATTGAATGGGACCAATTAGTGCAAATCTGCTTACAGTACCATTTGAGTAATATCTGGGGACACTTTGCTGGCAAAAGACATCTATTAGATGTTTAGTCCTACTTGGAGTTGTGAACTGCAGTGCAAGAAGATGACTTTAAAGTGGAATGTCCTTCGGCTACTTGCACTTCTAGATTGTTGATTTCTCCACAGCTGTTGCCCTTTTCAATTGCTCGAGAAAGTTTTGCTTCTGGCACCCACAAGAAGTTGCCCCGACGACAACTTGAAGAGCTGCTCGCTGTTGCTGAGTTGCTGTTTGTGTTGTAAAGCACTTGCGGCACCAGAACATCTCGGAGACTATTGCAGTCCGGCTGCTCAGTTATTTAATTAGCAATTAAATAGCCGGAGATTTACATAATCTCAGAAGCAGCCCTCGTTTTAGACACACGTGCCAAGAAACCTGAAAAGGCTTCTCCCCACAATGCGACAAGCAACCAAAGGAGAGCTCCTCCCACCATCCACCGAAACCAAGCTCAAGGTCTAGGCTTGAGGCATTAATTGATTTCGATGTTCGCCTGCACCCGAACAATATCCATCAAATGCATGTATTATGCTAGCATAATTTACAGACATATCCAGATGTTTTACAAGCCTAAATTATTTATAGCCAGAACACTGATTGTGGCGACAAGATATTTTGTGGCTCAGCAATACAATGACAAATGATTTCCCATTAAGTTTCATCTCTCTGCAAACATATGTAAATGCCACAGCAAAACCTACTTAAATGTCTAAGCCTGAAATTTGCTTGATGGAAACGAAGCAAGTGCACCTAATCTCATTAATTTGATAAGTGAAATCTTTGCTCTTAACTTGCTCAACCCACGCCTCGAGTCCTTTGTGCCGTCTGCTCTACGATTTTATCGTATTTCATGCAGCATTTAATAACTTCCGCTATTTATGGCGCTTGCGGACTGCAGACTGGAGAACGTTACATAAAGCAAAGGAAAAATTTCAATATATGTACTTGATATTAAAAATGCGAGCTTTTGATTTGAGGAATACAAATTCATTTAAATTACACTCTAATAAAATGGAAAGCCAAAGGGGATCTTTAGGGCAAAGGTAGAACGGACTTAAATCGAAAATGAAGATGTATTTAAAGACAAAGAACGCGACTGAAAAGTTAGTCAATAAAATTCGGTAATAGCTCGCTTAAGCTGAACGGTTATTTTTATCTGTCTCGTTTTAGTACTGAGAACGGATGGAAGCCAAAAGGGGATGCATGCGCTGGAGCTGCGTCAGTGGCAGTAATTAAGCAAATGACAAAATAAGGCGAACCGTCCAGCTGGAGAGACGCGACAAAGCAGCAAGTCACGGCCACGGCAAGCAAGCGACGCGCGTCACGCATACGCAGCGTGGCACATGCAAAATTTAACAGCATCAGTGGCTGCATCAGTGGCTGCGGCATCAACCTGCTGCCCGTAGAATTCACTACACAAATTTTTGGCAAAAAGGCCAGCAAGATAAATAGTGAAACAGACACGATAAAAGACACAGCATGGAGACCATTATGTCAACATTGCCCACGCTGACAGCTGACGATGGCAGCCTCTGGATAACTAGCGCCCTCACCGAGCTGTTGGCCAGCGGCGCCAATAGCAGCAGCGGGAGCGGCAGCGTTGTCGCTGATGGCACACAGAATGCAACGTTTGTCGCTGCCGCCACAACAACAACAACAACAGTGGCAGCTGCCGCAGCAGCTGCAGCAGCAGCAGCTGTGAATGCTTCGACAGCGACCACGGCGAATGCCACCAAAGGTCATCACAAGCATCCGCATGGTGTGAATGACAGCGAAACAGATCTGAGGTGAGTCTATGTGGGTGTATGTGTACTGTCTGTGTGTGTGTGTATGTGTGGGTGTGTGTGCTGTATGTGTGAATGAGTTCTTTTGAACTCCGTTAAAGGATTGATGGCTCTAAAGTTGGATTTGCATGTGCGCGGACTAGAGTTGAGATAGAGTTGCTAGGATACCCTGGACAGGGAAACTCCAGTTGTTGACAGTAAATGAGTTTTGAGATCAACAGAATTGCATATTATATATTCTATACGTATACAGATATACAATTTCCTTGCTTGAGCTGCCTCCTACTGCCCTGTAGCATATACAACATCCCCTTTACTACTCACTTTTACAGGGTATATATGTGCATCAGCCATTCGATTCGCAGATCTTAAATAATTTATGCAGATAGACATAGTAACAGATAGAGAAGGATAAACAAAACGACAGAGAGAGGCAGCGAATGGCTTTTAATATTTGCATATTTACCTCGCTTTGCAGCTCATATCCCGGCTATATACACTATCGGGACAAATACGATCTGACCTACATAGCCAAGGTGAATCCCTTCTGGCTGCAATTCGAACCGCCTGACACCAGCACCTTCTACATCATGGCCGGCCTCTATTGCCTGATCTCCGTGGTCGGCTGCTTTGGCAATGCGTTCGTCATCTTCATGTTCGGCAGCCGGAAGTCGCTGCGCACGCCGGCCAATATATTGGTCATGAATCTGGCCATATGCGATTTCCTGATGCTGGTCAAGTGCCCCATCGCCATCTACAACAACATCCAGGAGGGCCCGGCGCTGGGCGATGCAGGTGAGTGCTTGTGCGCAGCCCGCACTGGGATTAACTAGAGGCTTCAGTTTCATTGGCTCACCTGCAGCTTGTCGCATCTATGGCTTTGTGGGCGGCCTGAGTGGCACCTGTGCCATCGGCACTCTGACGGCCATTGCCCTGGATCGCTACAATGTGGTGGTGCACCCGCTGCAGCCGTTGCGCCGCTACTCCCGCCTGCGCTCCTACCTGATCATATTCGCCATCTGGTGCTACAGCTTCCTGTTTGCCGTGATGCCCGCCCTGGACGTGGGCCTGTCGGTGTATGTGCCGGAGGGCTTCCTCACCACCTGCAGTTTTGACTATCTCAACAAGGAGACACCGGCACGCATCTTCATGGCCCTCTTCTTTGTGGCCGCCTACTGCATACCCTTAGCCTCCATTGTCTACTCCTATTTCTACATACTCAAGGTCGTCTTCACGGCGAACCGCATTCAGTCGAGCAAGGACAAGGCCAAGACCGAGCAGAAGCTAACATTCATTGTGGCGGCCATCATTGGTTTGTGGTTCATTGCCTGGTCGCCGTATGCGATTGTCGCCATGATGGGCGTCTTTGGCCAGGAGCAGCACATCACGCCGCTGGGCTCCATGATACCCGCGCTCTTCTGCAAGACGGCTGCCTGCGTGGATCCCTATCTGTATGCGGCCACACATCCCAGATTTCGTGTCGAGGTGCGTATGCTGATGTATGGACGTGGTGTCCTCAGGCGCGTGTCCACCACTCGCTCCTCCTATATGACTCGATCACGCTCCTCCTTCACGCATCGGCTGCGCCCCTCAAGCGGCGACTGCGAGAATCGCGCTGAGCCCTACACGCTCAACAACAACCTGATGATGGTGCCCGAGGAGACGGAGGAGAACGAGGAGATCATCGTTGTGGCCGAGATCAACAATTCCATCTCAGGGGTCATGGAGCAGAGTAAGTTTTAAAGAAAGAGAGAGAGAGAGGGATAGAGAGGGAGACAGCTAACCATATCAATTGATTGTCTAGATAAGCATATTTTTGTACTAGAAAGAGGAAGAGATTAAGTGTCAAACGTGATCATTTATGTACCGAAGAATTTTAAAGAGAGAGCTTACAAAATGCAGTATTATTATTATTTTTATATTAAATGTTATGCATATATAGTCCTTTAGCTCGTATATTCCCTTTGAAAGACTTGTTGGACTTGATAAAAATGAAATGAAATTCTTCAAATATAATCAAACAGAAATCAAGAAATAAGCTCGCCCTTCACGTGAATTATATATAGCAGGACTTCACTTGGCTGCAGTTCAAAGGAAAATTGTAATGAGATACTTGCCCTTTAACGGCGCCAAGGCAGCTCTCTCGGTGGAGAGCAATTATAGCCAGCTTATAGATAAATTAATGTACCCTATCGAATATTTACACAACTCCAATGCAAACATAATACAACATTGCTGTGGGCAACGAAGTGATAGAGGTCTTGTTGAGGGAGCTTAACTAAAATGTTAATAGGTATTTATTGTAGTATAAGCCCCATAGTGAGGTCTGCCCTTAAGTAGGCTCTCAATAAGTCTAGTGTAAGTAAGTAAGTGTCTATTGTGCGTGAGGCAGAGCAGGGAAACCGAAATGTATCATCAGGGAAAGAGACATAAATAACTCACTTCATATGTACATACATACATATACATATACATATATGTATATATATAAATACAATTAGCTGTTCAGGTGTCGTAATTAATTTGTGGCCAACTGTTACATTACCGCAACGAATGTAGCTCAAAATTTGCGCAATTATTTTTTGATTTTTACTATGCGAAACGTGTCAAAAAGCATTAACATTCATAAATATTACTGAGAAAATAATTTATTAAAATAAATATATAAATTTAAAGCTGCAAATCATTGAAAAATCTATTGAAATGCATAATAAATGCAGTTTATTTAATTAAGCTTATTAAATGTACAAATATGATTATGCAAATGTGTTGAACAATTAAGTATACATTATGAATGTGAATTAAATATTCTTATTATGCGAAAATCTCGCTGCTAAATTTCTGTTCAACTAAAGCCTTGACCGAGGCCCGACAGAGTACTTGTACCTAAATGCAAAAACAAAACAGACAAAAGCTATTTAAGCTCGATCAAAATATGAGCAAAAATACGAAAAATAGTCATAAGCAGCAATATTGTACGAATTTATACTTTATAAGTGTTCCGTGCTTAAATCTACATATATATATATATATATATGTATATGCATATATAGATGTCAACTTGTATATATATGTATATAAGTATTCGTTCGAGCAATATCCTTTATGTGGCCACGAACAAAACCGAAACACAGAACAATGGACAAATATGCTAAGAGTGACCTGAAAAAGATTGTAATTAGAAAGAGTAAGAGTAAGGCTAGATGAGAGCTTAGTCGATGTCTAAATACACTATCCGAGCTTTATGCATTACAATTGTAAGTCAAGAAGTATGGATTATTGAATATATAGTTGAGTAAATTTCAAGTTAAATCCTGTGACTGTAAAATCATAATCGCAATTTTTCACATTCTACACTGCAACAAAAGTACGCAGAAACCCCAGACGAAAAAAAACCCAAACCAAACAAACAAACAAACGATTGCCAGCCGAGCATGAGAGCATTGTATAAATTTTCTACGGAGAACAATGAAACGACACAGCCACATCGAATGTTTGCTGCAACTGTCCAGAAACCAACAAGGAAGAAAAAAAAAAAAAAAAACAATAAAAATTTTCAAATGGAAAAAAAAGCTAGCTAAACAAAGCCAACCCAAAAAGAAAACAAAACTAAATCAAAATAGAAGGGAAAACATCTAATTAGCATAATTTAAAATGCACTCTGACTGTACTCAAGTTAGTATTTAACTTGTGGCGAAGCTAATTTGTATTTATATATGAAATGCTTAACCTCCACTTGTACTTGATTGTTTTTAAATGTATTAAATAAATGTCTCTCTTTGTTACATATGAAAACTATAACGAAATATCACTGGATGGCTTCATCTGTTTGTATTTTTAGCATAAGTTAAGCTAATAGTCAATTCAATTTACGAAACTCCAGTCCAGTGCAGTTGCCAGGCATTTGACCAGAGGCGCGCGCAATAATAATAAACGGCAACAGGTGCACAGACTGCCCCGAGGCAATAAATAAAAATAATATAGTTTTAATATGGCTTCAGCAAGCGCACGCTCTGTGTGTGGAGAGAGAAGCACGGCTTGACCGACAGCAACAGTGCGTATACTTGATTTTCCCAAACTACAGCCGCCGCATGCAATTCCCTTAACATCACATCGCAAAATTCCCAGTATTTGTCGTGCACTCGCGAGCAGAATAGCCCTAGCAAGGGTGTCAACAGCTGAGAGCTGCAAACCGTTATTTTGTTGCTAGAATACATGGGCCAGACAAAGACAGCAACAACAACAACAACGACGACGCCAGCGCCGGCGTTAGCGTTAGCGTTGGCAATGCCGATGCCGATGCCGACGTTCTCCTCTTCGGCGTCGCGTCGTCAGCGTCAGCGTCGTCGGCGTTGACGTCGCTGCTGAAGAGCAGAATTTCACACGCAGCCAGCATAACAAAAATTTCAGTCGGCTTTTTCACGACGCGCTCGCGGTTTGTTTGTTTCAGCAGATTTTTACACCGATTTCCAAGTGCATTAGCTGAAAAAAAAAAACGAAGAGAAGAAAATCTGATTTGATTTTTGTTAATTTTCAATCTAAATTAAGCTGTGAAAAAAAAAAAGAAAAACCAAGTCATGTTGCTGCAGCGCAAACCTCTAAGCAAAGGAGTATAAAATGTAAGGCTAAAAAGGGAGTTTGCTTGAGTGTATGTGAGTGTGTGTGGGTGCCACAGTTTCTCATTCAAAGATTAAGCTGTAAGCTGCTCCTGCTGCTGCTGCTGCTGCTGCTGCGTGTGGCGACCTTACTTAACCCAACTAAATATTATGGCTACTTCATTTTCTTTCGATTTTTCACCGCTTGTATGTACCCAGCGCAGTTGCTGTTGTACCTTTGGGTGCCGTTTAGTAGACATTTAACCGGCCACGTTGCCTGCCTCAGTGGCAGCAGCAGCAGCAGCAGCAGCAGCAGCAGCAGCCAGAGCGTCCTCTCGGCTGGTTCATTGTACTTGCGCGCAACTAACGAGGATGCAGCGACGAGCAGCTGAAGGCAATTCGCAGTCAACAACACAGACTTGACAGAGCCAATTGTAGTGGGTGTGCACAGGCAGGCAGGCAGGCAGGCAGGCATGCAGGTGTGTGTGTCTGTGTGTGTGTGTGTGTCTGATAGGAAACGTCATATCGTGTTTGCAGCCAAAATAAATATTGACCAAACAAATATAGGCAATTGCTCGATATATATATATGTACATATATATATATGGTATTGCTAACGACTTATCCCAGCATACACACACCCACACACATGTGTGTTTGTCAGTTAAATATATGCTCATTAGGTGTGCGTGCAAGGTAACGTGCTCAGCGGCTATTATGCCATGCACTGAGCACAGAGACACGCGGCGTATGCGTATTCCATGATGATTGCATATCGAAAGTCACTTCAAGGTCCGCCCTTAACTGTTATGCATATGCATATATCAAAACACTTTTATGGCCGCCCAAAAGCTACTGTAAACAACAACAGCAACAGCAACAAGCCGCCGGCTCTGGCGCCGAGACAAAGCGTCTGCCGCTCTTCAAGTAAACGACAACAGCAACAACAACAACAACAACAACAGCTGGCAACGACAATTGAAGTAGACACAAATGAGCATGCAAGGAACCCAACTCAATGGCAAAGAGCGACACACCCAGACAGCCCTGCTGGAGCAGTCAAGCAGGGGGGCAACGTCTAAAGCCCAGCGGGTTGCCGAGTGTTAGCCTCACATTACACATACGACGCGTTGCCTGTGCGACAATGCAAGTCAAGTGAAGGTGCGAGCACTGTTGACGGTTTTACTGTCACTGCCATAATTGTAGTTGTTGCTGCTGTCGCTGCTGCCGCTGCTGCTACTGTTGCTCCCACTCCTCCTTCTGCTCCTGCTCCGAGTGTAGGTGTTTGTTTGCCTCAAGTCCTCAGACGAATCGCGACATTTTGCACGCGATATTTGGTGGGCTGCCTGCCTATCTCTCTCTCTCTCTCTCAGTGTGTGTGTGTGTGTGTGCTTGTTGTCCCTGTAGACATTTGATTTTATGTGCATTTCGTAAGTAGCACAAAGTTTAATTTGATGACTTGGCAAACAAAAAAAAAAAAAGGCGCGAATAACCACTCGAGCTTGATATCCGGCAAGCCTTTGACGACAACAACTAGCTGAAAGTCATTGTGGCTTTACTTACACTTCCCCTACGATATACATGGATGCATGTGTGTGTGTGTGTACGTGTGGGTGGGTGTGTGTGTGTGTGTGTGGTATATGTGGGTATAAGTACAATAAATGTAGCAAGTTAATATGCTGATCCATAGTTGAGAGCGTATTCGTTTTGTTTGTGTTGTACTTTCTAATACTCTAGCTATAATAAGTATGTACTTTCGCATTTTTTTATATACTGAACGCATTTAATGAATAACTATAGCTGTGCTGAATACATTCCCATTTTAATAGCTATATCTATATATACTTATATATATGTACATTCATATATATCAATTTCTATTCAGAATAATACTGTGATAAAAATATTTAACTGATTGAACAGTTGCCAGTTGGCCAGAAGTTTGTTTCTATATATTGTATAAAAATATATATTCGTATATGCACATTTAGATAATTGCAGTATTTGCATTTACATTGTAATGATTATAAATGTTAATGTTAATGTTATAAAACATTTATATGACTTTTGTTTTGGCTGGCCGAGTCTGTCTGTCTTTGTAAAGCGACTACAAAAGCTATGAATTTGGAGCAAGACTAGTTGCTATTGTTAATGAAGTACATACATATGTATGTATATGCCTCAATTTGGCTTTCTATTGTGAGCATATCATATATGTAGTAATGGCATATCAAATAAATATCTGAACTTTACTCATTCACATGCCCTCCAATCAATACAACACTTGGCAGTTTGTTATCAACAGTGGCCAAACTAATTCAATGCAACAATTAAAATCAAGTATACGTATCGATAATTGCTTGCCAACAAAAACCAGTTCAACTCCAGCCCCACACAATCCCTCTCTCTTTCCCTCTCTCTCTCTACACCTATATGTATATACAATACATTTCTCCATGAACTTCATTCGTTTCATTTCATTCATTTACATATTAAAACACTTTCAAGTCTTATCGAACTGCATAAAATTCGAATTGGTTTTTAATGCTGTTTGCATTGATTTCATATTCTTCTTCTACTTCACTTTCACGCTTGGCAAACTTCTTGTACTTGATTTAAATTCTCTTTCTTTTTTTCTCCCGATTTCTATACAAGTTAAACACGCATAAAACTTTTCATTGAAGAACTATGACGTCAATGTGCACGTTGCGTTTGTTTTCATTATTTGTTTTTATTAAACTGTGGCGCAACAGCAACAACAACAACAACAACATCGGCAGAGCAAAATGAAACGAAATTAAGACAAAATAAAAGAGTAGAGGAATGAAAAATCAAATCGAAATACTTTTTCACTGGCAGCTGCAGATTCAGATACGGCATTAATTAAACAGACGCAGCACTTGAAAGGGGCAGTAGAACCAGCAGAGGTTCCTTTTTTTTCTATCCGCCTCAACTAGCTGCCGCACGCCTCTCGCACGCCTCCTTCGGCACAGCGTGAGGCACTAATGACCGCACGTTTTGGCTCTCTTTTTCTGCATTTGTATTTTGGCAGCCGTGCCAGGAGTCGGCTGATGCATTTGGATACTGCGTCTGGGCGTCTGATGGGCTGCCTGCCCAGTTGGCTGTCTTTCCTGCTCTGACAAGCGCATGAATTTATAATTCATTTCAGCAACAGCTTCATTCTCAGCAACAGGCTCGGCTACGTCCATTCACGTTGTCATGTGCCAAAAAAATAATAATAATAATGAAGGGACTCCTAGAGCATATGGCGCTTCAGCTATTTATATGTGCATCTGCATCTGCATAAAGATATTCTGCACCAATTGAAATATTGCTGATTGATAACACTGTGCTACAAGGCAACTCTTTCAGAGTCCAAGCTCAGTTGACAATTTTAAGAAAAGAATGTGACTACCTCTAGGTATTACTTTCAACTATTATAACAAATGCCTTGGAATTTCAATTGATTGAGTTTATTTTAAGGAAATTTTCTATTGCTGAGCATCTACAAACAAAATTTCATTTTATTTAGGTCGTAGCACAAACAAAAACTGTGCACTTTGCTCTACAGTGTAATTGGGCATGACTGTTGTGTTTATTTTCATAAATAGAACAAATCATTTGGCAATGCAAATATTAGCAAAATATATGAGAGTATTTTTACGAATACAAAACAGAAATTGAAGCTATATATAGGAGACAGCTATGAGATGTTGGGGTATAAGTAGGGTATAACTTGGCTAGGGAATAACTGGGATATGATTGGTGTATAGGACATGACTAGGGTACGACAAGTTTAAAACTAGGGTGTAACTATACTAAAATATGGTTAGTTGATTTTATTATTTATTTATCATAAAAAAACTGTAACTAATACTATAGGAAACTCAATTTAACAACAAAAGAATAAAACAATTAAAGTACGATTGCACTCTAAAAGAAGCTGAGCTAATGTCTATAGTAAGTTGTGCCTGTAGTTCGATTCAATAAAGTAAAAGTTTTATATTTACAAAGCAATTTATACCCATGAAACAACTTAACATAGATAAGGTGCAATTCTTTCAGGCACAATTCTCTTCTAGGTTTATTCTGGAATCATACAGTTGAAAATTGAGTTGCCTGTGCAGCAGATAGCCTTAACAGCCCTGAGTAAATATTTTCCTTTGCTTTTCGCTCATGCATTTCATTTGAAATCAAAACATTTACACTGCTTTATTAAAGGATATGCTCTGCATTTACATAAAAATCACAAAAGCAGAAAGCTGATTAAAATCTGTGTACGCGAACAGTTGCATAAAAACTATAAGCGAAAATCTCTTCTGCATCTGCTTCTTCTTCAACAGCAAGCTGATATGACTGCTGCCCTTTATATTGTAGAACTGAGCGACTAAGAGTCGTGCTCTAATACTTAATTTGTGTGTTGTAAATGTGTGTGCGTAGCAATTAAGAGTGGAAACCAAAATTTGTTACACAAACTCTGCTTACAGCTCAACTCTTGGACGATGGACTAATGAGCAGCCCGCTGGGAGTGCAAGTAAGCCAGAGAGACGGAGTGAGAGAGGGAGAGAAAGAGAAAGAGGCACAAAATCAGCCAGACAGACAGCGATTCAGCTTGTCACGCAGTCAAGCCGCCGTCGAACGCACGCAGCAGCTTAACGGCTTTTATTGGCATTGACAGAGTGAGAGAGAGAGAGAGAGTGTGTAGGCGGGAGAGCATGTTTGATGTCACCTGGCTGCCCACCGCTTGCGGCTCATTGGCGCCCGCATTGATACCGCCGGCTCATATTGTCATCCTTTGGTACTTTTGGGAGAATTATGCACGCTATGTGGATAGGCACTTCTGTACGTGCTCCTGCTGGGACACCGTATTCAAGGGCCCCTACGAGTCGGGAGTGGCCGCGTACAAGCACATGTACTTCAATGCGACGCCGAACAGCTTCAAGATGTGGATACTTACCGTCTTTGCGGTAATTGCACTTTACGAGTGCATCAAGCGGCTCATCGCATTGATCCTGCAGCAGCGTGTGCGCTACTCGATGCTGCTGCTCTTCCTGCTCTCCATCTTCTCGCACTATTATGCCTGGTGGGCGTACATCAACTACTACAACGACGATTACTACAATCAATGGAATCACCAACTGTTCTTCACGGTAAGCCATCCGAATATTAGCACACTTCACCACACAGTCCGGCCATCCATGTGTGCTTGTGCTGGGCAGACAAGTGGGTCCATCGGCCACCGGGCTATTCATAATTTATTACCAAAGTTCAGAAACACAAAACAAAAACAACAGCAACAACAACATCAACAAAATGGCGATGCTTAAAACTTGCACAATATGCGCCGGTGTTCGTGTTGAGCTGAACTTTCTATCCGTGCTTCACGTGCGCCACTTCTAAACTTTATAGGTTGCCCAGCGCAGCCACTGAATGGCCACTACTCTATACATATACATATATACAATAGGTGCATACATATATATGTATATACACACAAATTTGTTAAATGCCGTCAAGTTTTCGAGTGCCGCAAAATGGCAACTTGCAAGCGTTTGCCTAGGTTAATGAGCACGGCCAATCGGCCAGGTAAAGTTAAGCATAAGAGGCAACAAGTAGAAGGCGCAAATGACTGGGGACAATAATTTGACACAAAACAGTTCAGATTTCCATTAAAGATTACAACTTTTCATATTAGTTGTACACATAGAAAACTTTTGCATACAGCAGCTAAGCTCTAGCTGAATATTGGCTGAATAAACCAGAAAACGTAGAAATAGAACTTTTCATATGATACATATTCATACATGAACTAAATCAGAGTTTGCATGCCAACTAGAGGAGCTTCACTGATAGCTTGACCCATGATTGTGTTATATAGAAAACTACTTCATACATGTACTAAACCTTTGCCAATTTGAATTGTATGCATGGGAGACTTTTCCATACATGAACTAAATCTTGCTGCGCTATTTCAACTAATAGAAATCAATTTATAGCTTACCATATGAATTTTAACGTACATTAAAGTTTTTTCATACATGATCTAAATTTGTTCTAGGCCAACTCATATGATTTTTTCCATACATGATCTAAATTTTTGTTCAATGTTCAATATACCAACTAAGGGAAATTACTCTACAGCTTTGATATATAATACAAGTACACAAAGCTCAACTTTTACACCTTTTTGTATGTCAACTAGAATGGGTACTATGAAGGTTGCCCTCCTATGCTAATAAAGCTTACGTATTAAAGTTTTTCATTTCAACTCCTGCATATCACAAATGATTAACATATTCAATTTCCCCTACCTTCACAGATAACGGAGCTGTTCTCCACCGTGCTGGTGATGCACCTGGCCAACACAACGAACGTGGTCAAGCCGAAGAAGGTGTTCTGCATTGTGGGCATTGCGCTGCTGCACATTTTGGCTGGCAGTTTCGATCAGTTCTTCATGAATGTGGTGCGCGGCGAGGGTGCCGCCCATCAGGTGGTGCGCGACATTGGCTTTATGCTGCCGGATCTGTTGCATCTGATTGTGCCGCTGTGGCTGCTGCGCCGGGCGCGCAGTGAGAGCTTCACAACGCGTCCCTTCTACCGGGATCGGAAGCTGCATCGGGATATTGTGGCCATGCTGTGCCTGGTCTCGATGCTGTTTGTGCTCTGCACGATTTTGTGAGAACGAATCCTGTTGGGCGCCTACGAAGAGGCGCACGGCAAGATAAAGCCCGCTCAGGATGCTGCCGTCTTGCTGCTGAATCGCTATCGCATGCTGGCCAACAGCAATGTGCACAACTAGTGGACGACGGCGACGGCTGGACTGCTTGGCGGGGATGAACTGTGGACAATATGCGGCACTTGCCAGTAAGTGTGTTTGGGGGGGAGACGGGCGCAGCCACGCCCCTCGGCTTGTAGTTTTGTGCTTTATGTTTTGCAATTTACGATTTGTGATAGTTTTTCGAAGAGAGAAGAGGGGAGATAGAGAGGGAGAACTTTTTGGGATTGGGGCACACAGAGAATATCGAAGCATATATATATACATATGTATGTATACACATACGAGTATCAACTAAATACTTATCCAAGTACATAATCAATACAGCAATCTGTTGACTTCCATTTAGAAATGTTGGAACATATCCCGCAGTAGAAAAAATATCACTAGTCAGCGATTCGGCTGCGATAAACCCAATAACGTTTAGATATTCTAGACACAACGAATGTGTAATTAGCATAATCTGTGACTAAGTTCGAACTGTTGGCAATTCGGAGGGCGTTTAATGAAGACCTCAATAGCGACTTATTGCCAAGTATTGCATATACATACATACATACATATATACATATAGATACATATATAGATTTACCCACCCAGTGTTACTCTATCTTAAATTTAGATGCAATTTAGACTGTTGTTGGATAATACAAATAGCATTATTATATATATACACAAATACACACACATACACTCACACAAGTGAATACGAAATATTCCAGCATCGTAGTAGAAACCAAAATCCTGTAGTAATCAAAACTAGCGTTAAACGATATTGTTAAACATACACGACTATATATATATTATACGAAATATCGAATAGCCTCTAAATATGTATACACCCACAAGCATACACACACACACATACACTCAAATATATATATATATATTTTAGTATACAACATTATATTAAATAAACATTAAGAGACTGAAAAAAAAAATCCATTTTAGTTTTCATAGATCAAACAAAAAAGGTAAGTTCATAGAGTATTTTCTATGTATATATATAATTAATTTTATTGAAATTTGAAAAATCTTTATTATGTCAGTGTAAACACACAGTGTATATAGTACTAGTCATATATACATATACATATCCATATATGCTAAAGTATATTTCGAATATGCAATTGCATTTTCCTAAAATACAATTTCGTTTTTCTCATTTTGTTTAAAACTTAGCACAAAAAATGTTTCATCATATTCGTTTTGTGTAAATTAGAAGACATTTGAAATGATTTACATAATATTTAGAGAGACAGAGAAAACTATAACGTATTAAATATAATGGAATGTCGTTGGTGTAGTTGTGCACGTCCGTCCAGAGAGATACATATATATGTAGATAACATTTATATATATCTGGGCAAACAGTGCATAAATGTAATTGGCTGGTTGATAACTTAAAGTACAATTGTAACTTAATCTGATAAACAATTTGTGTAAAATAAAGTCAACTAAACAAAAATGGACGGTTTTGTGATGACTATTGAGTGGTCAAAAGTACAAAGTAAAATTAAAATAATATTCGATTTGCCATCAAACAAAAGCAAAACCTAATCAAAAATCAGCAACCAATTATTAACCAATTTCAAAGCAAATGCATTGCTCAAAATAATTGGCAGTGTGTGAAGGGGGGAAAAGCCTTGGGTTCTATTCTCATTGGTAATTATGATATTCGTTTCCTAATTCGTTTGATTTTGTGTGTGGGTTTCTCCTTTATGTATATATTTTGTGTGCTCAGTTGTATTTGTTTTCTTTTTAAGGCGATTGATTTTCAGAGATTCCTGCTTTACTGTCTGTTATTAGATGAAAATCTCTGTACGCTTTCTGACCTGATGGCCAGTGGTTGAGTGCAGTACAGCATCATCCGGATCATCGGCACCATCGGCGCCCTGATCCTCGTGCGTCAGGTAATCGCCCTTGTGCCGATGCAAATAGCGACCAATGAGGAAGAACATCAGGAGCAGCAAGAGGAAGAGTATGACGAGCAGGACTGAAAGGGAAGAGCAAACTATTAAAAGAGAATCCTCATCGGCTTAACACCTCGAACTTACATGCCAGCAACACAGCGTTCACTTCATTGTAAGCCTTGCGCAACTTCTCCTCATCCACCAGCGGCGGCGGTCTGGTCTCAATTTCAATGGGCGGATGCGTCACCGGCTCAACGCCGCAAAAGTCTTCAGTTAATTGAGCTGTAAGAAAGATCGAATATTATAAACTGTGGCCAAGTTGACCAAGCTGAGCTAAACTTACTGCCAAGCGATTTGACATTATTGGGCGGATTCTGCTGGAACATCAGTTTCAGTGGATAAATATCATCGAACTGCACACGCGATACGCAGCCCACAAAGCCGTCGGTCATGGAAGTGTTTTTGCCAATGTACATGTACTGAATGTTATTGAACTGGGCATCTGCTGACTCCTTGATATCGAAGTGATACTCCACAGGCTCGTAGTTATCCACATGCAGCACCACCGTCGAGCCGCTGTTCTTGCGCATAAAGCGCACGTCATGATACTGACCCAAACCGAAATGTTTCTTGGGGAATATGATTTCCTGACGCTCAAAGCCAAAGTCGAAGACACAGCGCAAATGACCTGCAAAGGGAAACAAAGGCATGTCAAAACATGTTCGATCTATAAAGGAATAATTAAACAAGTACCGGAATTGGAGATTTGTATAGTCAGATATTCGCCAGTCAAATTCGAAGAGAAGCCGAGCAAGAAGCCCTTGGGTATGGTGGTTGTGAAACCCACGCGAATGTTCTCAGCAATTGTGGAACGGAACGAGCCCTCGAACTCGTAGCGAATAATGGAACTGGAACGCAAATTGACGCCAATCTCTGTAATCCAAATATATTAGTATAGAAAGCAATACATAAATTGGAGACTGGAGTACCATCTGCGCAAATGGGTCCCTTGAATGCACTCCAGCGGCAATCACAGCTGTAGCCATCGTAGCGTTCAATGCAGGTGCCGTTGTTGAGACACGGACTGGATTCACAGCGACCCACGCAGCCAGTGCTAATGCCGTAGAGACCGCGCATCGAGTACTGCTTCAAGTCAACCATCTTGCCATTGAGTAGGAGCGCACGTATGCAGCCGACGTAACCATCACGATACTCAGTTGTAGAGCCAATCACCAGGTCCGAGGTCAAGTGAAGAGCACGCACAGGGCCTGGTGGCTCGCGCACTTCGGCCTTTATAGAGCCATCAACAACTAGACGAGCTTCCTTTCTGTTGCGCTCCACGCTCACCGTGTGCCAGTTGTTGTCGTTCAGATGATAGCTGGTGCCTACGTTGACGCCCAGTGGGCCGCTGCCTGCTTGATACTGGAACTGCAGCTTGTTGCCGCCAATCAGACTCAGTTTGATGTAGTCGGTGGGGCCAGTGGCATGGAATAGCACTGCGTTCTCCTGTGTGGTACGGAATTCCAGGTAAATGTCGCCCGAATGGCCCATATCGAAGGGCGGCAAATTAATCGAAGCATCGGCTATGCGGAATGTAACAACATTGCTGAACAGATCGTCGCCCTCACAGCGCATGGGGCCCAGTGTGTAGCGGCCATGCTTCTCGTCCAGCGGCGTGCCAGTGTCTCCAAACTTAACGGCACGCACAGGTAGATGTTCCTTTTCCCTGATATCGCCACCATCCTCCATCCACTCCAAGCTATTTGAATCGCAGTTGCACCACTTGGTAGGATCGTGGCATTTGCCCAAAATGCCGCACTCACACTTGCGCGAACCAGGCAGAGCGCCAGCCCAGTAATCCATGGGCTGATTGTTACGTGAGATCCACCAGGAGAAGGGACGGAAGTTACCAGGTTCAGCTATACAAAATAGTAACAGTTAACAACTATATGAGATCTTAACATTTAAGTAAAATGTATTTACAAGGCGAGTTGAAGAGACGCGAGGAACGGCAGGAATAGCTCAGACGCTGCCAGCAGCTGTGCGAGCGATTGAGAAGTGCTTCGATTTGCAGCTGATTGGCATCGTACATGATGGACTGCGCAAAGGAACCAGGCTCCTGGAAGCCATCCACAGTGGTCGTGTGCTCCTGACTGTGACTTAGTGTGGTAATAACGCGACCGTCGGCTGAGGATTGAACGGATTAGATTAGGTGTTATATAAAGCAAAGCGCACACACTCACAATAGAACTCGCAGGTAACGGGGAAGGGCTCTAGAGGACCGCTGCCATCGACATCGATATTCAGGTTAACGCGCTGCTGCACATGTTGCACATTCTTCAGAGCCTGGCAGGACAATGGATTGTTGGCTGTAAAGAAAAATTAATTGAGTTTGCTGCACACTTCTAAGGCCTTCCGATCTTACAGGTATGGCAAACGGCGCCCGCATATCCAGTTTGTGAACAATCGCAGAAGAACTCCATGCTGTTCTGATGGCAGATGCCCTTGTGCTGGCAGGGATTCGGATTGCAGCGATCAATCATTTGGCAGGCATCGACAACCACCTCATCGCCACAGCAAACCTCCTCGCCCTGCACCCAGTCCTGAGGCAGCTTGTAGTTGCCATCCACAGAGATGAGACGCATGCAGCCCACAAAGCCATTCTTCTCCTTACCGCCAGCTATGTAGTACAAACGTCCAGTGGCTATCTGCAGATTCTTGGTCGTTGTCATCGGGCGTTGATCGATGTTGAGGATCAGGCGATTGCGCTCAATGGATAGCACAAACGAATGCCATTTGCCATCGTTGAACTGCTCATCGTAGTTGTCCAGAATGATGCGAGGCTTGTCTTTGGCCTTGAGATCAATCTTAACCTTGCCAAATTCCAGAAAGACTTTGATGTAGCCGCCAGAGTAAAAGTCGTGATGTACCATCACACCGCTCTCCTCGTACGTGCGGAAGTAGAACGAAACATTCAGGCGCTGCGAGTTCTCATAGCCCTTCAGTCGAACATACGAGCCGCGGGTCGTGAACGTAACGGGATAAATGGGCGGCGAGGGGCAGGCATATATTGTGTTGACCTTGTTATACAGATACGCCTCTCCCAGCTCATAGCTTTCCTTCATAGTTCTTATAAAATTGGTCGAGTTCAGATAAATGTTCTCCAAGCAACCCGAGAAGTTCTGTTGCACTATGAGACCTTCCTGGACGTTGGGCACGCCGCCCAAGTACAACTCTCGATTGAGATTGAGGCGGCTGAACTCGCCTTGAATGCGACCACGCACGATGACACGATCCACTGAGAAGATGATGTCCCGACGATTGCGAGAAATGACAACATCGTGCCACACATTGTCGTCCAGCAGACTGCCCACAGAGAGAGAGGTCATGATGCCCGAGCCCAGATCAAGATTCAGCACCATCTTATTGTCCTTCAGCTGCAGCGCATAATAATCG